AAGATTTTCTCTGGACCAATAATGGTGGTTTTTTCTATTAAACATTCCAGAATTTGAAAAATTTGATTCATCTGTCCATAAAAGGTAACGAAAGTTATTTACATTTTGGCGACAGAAGCTAAGATACCAATGGCAAAAAACAAGTCTTCTCTCTGGATCCCCTGCCAAAAGCGTTTGAACTGGTCGGTACTTATACGGAATAAATTTGTATTTTTTTAAAATCCTTTGAACAGTACCATAACTGAAATTAGAGTCCTTGAGAATATCTGCTATTGAATTCTCACGATAAGCTTCAAAATATCCAATAACTGCAATTTCCGTGGCCTCGCTTATTATGAATTCTTTTTTTGCCCTTGTTTTAGCAAAAACATTTTCGTTGCCCCTAAATTTTCGATAAAGTCTCAGAAAATATCGTTCATACGGTTGAATGCGAGCGGGATATAATTCACTGTAGTATTCTCTTGCTCTCAAGGAGGATTTTCTGCACACTAAATAGCATTCTAACATATCACACTTTTCTTCATGGGAGAACATTTTTCTTTAAATTAATGACACAATAAAGCTTATAAACAAGTATTTACACTAATGTTTGACATTATTTGATTTTATCATTGTTTTCCAAAGCCTTCTAGTTGCGAGTATGTCCAGTTTAACAATTTGTCGCTTATCTTAATGCTGTCAAATCGCGAACGCCATGTTGTTTTCATAGCCGTCTTAATATTATAATACTGCAAATAATTAAAAATATTTATCGTTATTTTGACTTTAGCGGAAAAGTCATTATGAACTTTTTTGTTTAAAATTTGATGCTTTAACAGAAAAAAATATAATATACAGGGGTTTCCATTTAAAAAAATGTTATTTTACTGAAAAAAATCAAAATAACGACTCTCAATTGTTTTTTTTATTTCTCATTTTTACCAGCGTTAAAAATGCTACTAGTTTGCTAATTCAAACAACTTTGTATTTTCACTAATAACAAAGTTACTAATGGTGGACACTTAATTTGGATAACCCTGTATAGACATGTAGTAAAAAAAACAGAGGTAACAGTACGCAGCAGCTACTATTGTGCATACAGGTACTTGAAAGCCCCTGTTAATATGTGACATCCTTATTGCCAGCAAAATCTGTAGTTCGAACTTTATCTGAACAATTTAGATGGATTTTACGTTATCGAAAAATTTTTGATCCGCGTGAATATTGATAGATAGATAGTCTTTATTGTCTTTTGGTCATAAATAGCTATGACATAAGACTTGTCAACATTACATATACAATACATAAGTATGCGATATGCAAAAAAGAACAGGTAGTTAATTAAAACAGTAATTGAGATAATAAATAATAAACAAATAAATAAATAAAATAGGAGTCATTACAAACACAAACGAATTCTTAATGACATCAAACGAACATGGAAAAAAATCAATTTTAAATAAATAAAAACAATTGAGCACTTAAAATGTCTAGAAGAGGAGCAATAAATAGACTGTTTCTTTTCCGTTAAGCTTAATAAATAAATAAAAAGAATAAATAAATAAAATTAAGCAGTTAGGTATTCGTCGACGGTGTAGTAACACTTTTCTGATAGATATCTTCTCAGACGTTTCTTTAATGTCAACATATTAGTGCTTCTGCGGAACTCAATTGGTAGTTTATTGTAAATTTTTGTACAGGCATAGAGTGGTGATTTCTGAAACTGGGCTGTTGCGTGGACTGATATACTTAAGTCAAAACCTATTCTGGTGTTGAAGTGCCTGTTAACTGTGTTGTTTTGAATAAAACTGGTCCTATGTTTAAATGCGAAGAGAGCGCATTTATATATATAGATCGATAGTAATGTTAGCAGATTATATGTTCTGAAAATATCTTTACAAGAGTCTCTTTTGTTGGTATTGAAAATCAGCCTGAGTACTCTTTTCTGCAAGATGAAGACTCTGTTGTTCATGACTGCTTGTCCCCATAGTATTATATTATTGCTAAGATGCGGGTAAGCCAAAGCGTAGTAGATATCTAGAAGAGCTGTTTGGGAGATGTTTTGTTTGAGTTTCAAGATTGCAAAGTATGCACTATTGAGTTTCTTAATGACATGATTCACATGTGACTGCCAGCCCAACTTCCATCAATATGAGTTCCTAAGAATTCGGTTCCGTCTGAGAAGATATCGTTGTGCAACCGTGGTTTGCTATTGTAGAAATGTACATACATTGTTTTATCAGCGTTTAGTATAAGGCGGTTTGATACACACCAGTCGTTCATTTCTGTTTCAACTCGCTCAATTGCTTGGAGCAGGTCAACTGGTGTTGCGGCACTAACTACTACTGACGTATCATCAGCGTAGTTGACCATATGGCCAGATAGTTTTAGGTCGTTCATAAACAAAATGAACAGGAGTGGCGCTAGTACCGAGCCCTGGGCTGCACCAATGCTTATGTCATACACCCCCGTCAAAGAACCATTCACTATTGTTTTAAGCTGTCTGTTTGATAGAAAAGAAACAAGCCAGCGTAAAAGAAAGTCCCTAATACCGAGGTTATACAGCTTCTGCTCGACGAAGTTTATGTCTATTTTATCAAATGCCTTCGAAAGATCAAAAAACAACCCTGCAACATATTTATTAGAATCAATATCCTCGTACACTTTGTTAAAAAAGTCAAATGACGCTGTTTCTATGGATCGTGAAGACCGGAACCCATGTTGACTGTCTGATATGATGTTATACTTATTTAAAAAGCTAACGATTCGTCTAAACAGTTGAATTAGCTGTTTTATTGGCACGTTGAAGCAGCATCAGATTAGCTTTTTGCATCAAATTACTATTAAAAAACCTTTTGCACTATCCATGAGCTTGTTTCGGTTACTTGTGCAGGTCTTTCTAATTTTTTTATTCTCAGTTGCCGTCATTAATTTGCAAATAGCGATAAATGTGGTGAATCTCACTTTCGCAAATAGTGCCCAGTATATATCCTGTAGTAATGCACGTTATTTAACGTAGCTTAGTGTTGTTCACCAAGATGATATTCAATGAAATATTAATTACGGCAAACATGACAACAATTATCGATCATATTTGTTTTTTTAGTTCATGGTAAGATAAATCTATATCTAAAAAATTCTTGAATTATAATAAACAACGTAGGCGTTTACCTTTTTTTTGTCACTCAGTATGTTTTTTTTGAATTCACTAATTACGGAAAAAATATCAATTACATATTGTTGTCACATAGTGCCATGAGTCAAATAATAGAATGTAACTATACATCCATTCGAGACCACAATTTATTTTGCCGCTGATTATTTTAAAACGTGACATCATTCGATTTGTCGTCGCACAACTTGATCACTAACGCAGTGTTCACATTATCTCGAAATAAAAGCAATAATCAGATCTATCCTTGTTCTCGTTTTCACCAGTTAGGTTATTTATCCATCATAATAGGCACGTACACAGTTTGTTTTGATCAATTTTACCATATTAACTAAATACCTACTAACATCAACGTTATATTAACAGCAGTACAGTGAACCACTACTCAAAAAAAAATTAAAGGAGCAAGAAAAAATCCAGATTTTTCGACGATTTTTGACAGGTTGTATTTCGCTGAAAAATGATCGTATCTATACTTTAAAAAAGGCATTTAGAAGCTTTGAGATTCTAGTTTTTAGGTTTTTTAGCCGAAAAATTTTAGGAGCAACGGTTCTCATGCAATTCTAACAGATAGCGCAAGCAAGGAAAGTTTTCTGTCAAATTGTCTTCGGGCTTAAACATTTTTTTTCTGTTAGGCCATCATATGGATCAGAGATAGCCCGTTTATTCAGCTTTAATATACCGTTTCTATTTTTTTTTTGGAATATTCCATGAATAAAATAGTAAACTTTTTCCAATTGCTATTTTTAAAATTGGTGTTACAGATATCCAATAGTGACAGCAAAAGAAGAGAAATGATTTTTCCATTTTCAACCAATTATATAAAATTTGCTCCTTTCCTTTTCAAATTTTGACCGATCCGTCCAGAGAAAACATACAATCGATCGATCTGCCGTCGTGTAGATGTAATAAAAAAACCCTTCTCATTAGCAGTTCTAAAAAATGCGGTCGCTTTTCCGAAACATGCCAAAAAGTAACTTTTAACTTTCTTAAAATCAATACTAAGGAAATAAAAAAAAATTCATTAGAGATTGCAATCAAATCAATAGGAGATTTATTCCAGTTTTCGGAAATGCCCCTACATTCTCTATGCGAAGTTACCTAGACATCAGTGGTCGGTGACGAAATGATCCTTTTTCATTCAAAGTCACATATCTCCACGCCAAATGATCGTATCGAGATTTTAAAAACATGATATTGCAGTTGAATAAACGGACTATCTGATCCATATGATTGCCTAACAGGTAATTTTTTTTCAAGCCCGGGTCTAAACAGAAGGCAAACATTTTCCTTGCGCTATCTGTTAGCATTGAATAAAACCTAAAACTTATTTTTTAAAGTCTAGTTACGACCATTTTTCACCGAAATACAACCTGTCAAACATCACTAGAACATTTGGATTTTTTCTTGCTCCCTTAATTTTTTTGAGTAGTTTATTTTCGAAAGAGGCAATTTTATCTTTCTGTCTGTATTTGTACACCTATGTACAATAAATGTATTTGTAATTCGATGGTCTAGCCGCCCCATTTGTACCGTGAACGTAAATACTTAGCAAAGCAAGGTTTGTAAATGGCGCATCACTTTGTTGCAGCGATGGTAGCTGGTGTCACATGACGTCATCACTGTCGTACGCTTCAATAAGATAATTCTTTAAAGAAGAAACTTGTCATTTTTGAGATATTTAAAAAAAAATGTCATTTTATCATTAAATGTATTTCAAAACATAGGAAACCTACTCATTATTATGAAACATAAGTCATATCGCAAATGTCATGAATGACAAAATTGTCGACGTAATTTCTTTGAAAGACAACGATGAATAGAAGAAAGGTAGAAAATACGAAACTCATAATTTCTCAAAAAACTATATTCAATAAATAACAGTATATAAATAACATGTATATTTTTCCAAATTCTAATTTATATAAAGTTGCTATCAAAATCTATAAAAATTTTATAGATTATTTAATAATCTCTGGACACCTCACACGCAAAATACTAATTATTTTAAACTTAAAGAATCAAAATCTTTGTTATATCTTTCTAGCACATTTCCACAGCCATTGCTATCCCCATCCCGCCCCCAATACAAAGGGCTGCAATCCCTTTTTTCTTCCCCAATCTCTCCAGATTATGCAGAAGAGTGACTAGCACTCTTGAGCCAGAACACGCGAGGGGATGCCCGAGGGCTATAGCCCCGCCAGAAATGTTCACTTTTGATTCGTCTACGCCTAGGGATTTAACGACGATGACACTTTGAACAGCGAAAGCCTCATTCAGCTCGTACAGATCTACTTCTTCTTTGGTCCAGCCTATTTTCTTGAGCTAGAAATAAAACAGTTTCTCAGATTATTTCAGAATTCAACGTGTAAAAGCAGATAACATAGGGACCGGGCAATCACAAATACCAAAAACGTAAACGTAATTGTTAACTTTGCTTTGAAATTTACCTTAATTTATGTCGTATAAATCATTGACTTAAATGTCAAGAGGCGAACGTTAGGTTTACGTAGGCGGTATTTGTATTTGTGAAAACTCTCTAACAATGATTCAAAAGTGTGAAATCAAGAAGAAGCGCAATTGATACAGTGAGCAAACATAATTCCGGCAGAAAAATCTAAATCGCTAAATATATCAGGTAACCGAATAAGTTCGTGCGATTTTTAGTAGAAAAATATAAATTTTTATTGAGAAACAATAAGACACTATTTAATCGTGCCAAATGTCGGGAGAATATGGCGGGTGTGGTAACGTTTGATCAAAGAAGGCTGTTTCTGGATGAGTGCTGCTTGTACTCGTTGGAGCTGCTCGCAATAAAAGTTAGCAGTAATGGTTTGACCCCATCCCAAATAATGGACAATTCCAGTTCCTGTCCACCAAACACACGACGAAACCTTGTTTGGGTGCAAGAAAGCCTTGGGCGTGTGTGGTTCCGAATCAGTAGGCGACAACCAATGATACGAACGCTTAGAATTCGAATACAAGATCCATTTTTCGTCGCAGGTTGATACCCGATTAAGAAATGGTTCATTAGCGTGCGTTAAATGTTTGCTGAACAAATGGTAAGACTACTTAATTTTTCAGTTCATGTGGGACCCATTTGCTTAACTTCCACGTCTTTCCTAGCTGATGAAGATGCAAACGAATAGTTTCAGGACTCACTCTGAACATTTCTGCAAGTTCTTGGCACGTTGTCCTGGAATGGGAAACCGGAAACCGCACGAACTTATTTGGTTACCTGATAGCTCCCAGTGCTTCATAGAATGCAACGAATTATGCCTTATTTGGTCCAAGATTAAGTACAAGTTCTTCACATCTGCCAAATCGCTGCATGAATTAAGTTGTTAATCTCAAGAAAACCCCGCATCATAATCTGTGATAAACTACATACCAGGTTCGTGACAGCTCCTATAGGTCCCAATCCCATGCACATGGGTTCAAGACCCGCTTCTGCAAAGCCTATAATTTGGGCAATCGGGGTGAGACCTTTTTCTTTGATTTTCGCTGCATTCGCTAATACTACTGCGGCGGCACCATCATTGAGACCTAGCAATGACAGACACCATAGGGGAAATAGTTGATTATTTTTTTTACATAACCGACATGAAAAAATATCATGAGAATGTGTAAGATGATAGGCCTGTGAGCCACGTCTACAAAAATGTGTTTTAATGCAAGATGAGTGGATTTATAATAAAAAATCCTAGCTGATTTTATTTCCCGAAAAATTTAGAAAATGAGATATGTTTTTTGGATGTTATATGAAATGTACACCACGAAAAACCATCTCACTCATTTCCGTCGGTCTGTCTGTCACAATGTTACTACTATGCGAAGGACGAAAAAGCTTTGTAGTTCTCGAATGTCGGTTCAGTGGCGGCGGAGTTAGGGAGAAAAACACGAAAAAAATCATTTTCTTGCACATTTGCCCTTATAACTTGGAGAAATATTTATAGTCGAGTCTCGCGGTCTGTCGGGGCGATGCGATGCTACGGCGACTTTTATACGTCGAACACTGCCTTGTGCCTGACAGCATCGCCGGCAGGCATGTTATACAGGGTGTTTGGTATGGAGGTGTCATTGGATCTTACTTACTACTGGCGAGCGCTACCGTGATATGGTGCAAAACTTTCTAGCTCCCCAAATCCAACAATTTAACGCCTCCGTGTTTTAAATGAAATTTCAGGTCCTCTCACTACTTTAATTAACATGCCTGTCTATCAAGGCAAATTTCCTAAATCCCTGAAGCTTGTGATAATAGTGCCCGTTCCAAAAAAGGGAGATCCTACTCAAGTTGATAATTACCGCCCCATATCATTGTTGCCAATCTTTTCTAAAATAATCTAAAGAGCGATTTATTCAAGAATTTTGAGATATGCTGAAAAATTCAACCTTATCCCAAGCTCGCAGCATGGATTTAGGAAACTTCATTCAATAGAGACAGCTACTTATGAGTTTGTATGTCAGATATATAAACAGCTCGATATGAATAAATGTATCGCGGGCATCTTTTTTGACCTATCGAAAGCTTTCGATACAATTGACATTGGACTTCTCGAGGAAAAATTATTTTATTTAGGTTTAAGAGGTTTTATATTAGATTGGGTAGTGTCTTTCCTGTCTGACAGGAAATTAAAAACAAAAGTTAACGGAATTACATCCGCAACGTACAGTATCGACATTGGAGCAGTGCAAGGCTCAGTTTTAGCACCCCTTGTATTCATTCTATATATAAGTGCTTTGCATCTCTCTGGATTTGTAACAAATTATGCGGATGATACGTCAGTTCTTGTAAGTGGAACTACACGCAATGACATTATTGCAAAAATAAATGGAGTAAAAGGTGAAATGAAAGGGTGGTGCTAAGCAAATCGTTTGATTTTAAACCTGGAAAAGTCAGATGTACATTTTTATACAAACGCCCCTATTCTAGTAAATCATGAGACATCGAAAACTACGACATTCTTGGGAATAGAAACGGATGCAAAGCTCAGTTGGCAACAACACATGGACAGTGTGTGTAAAAAGTTGAACCAATCATATTATGCGATTCTTAAGCTCAAGTTTTGCTTATCAGAGTCAGCTTTACTAGATGTATATTATGCTCTTGTCCACTCACATTTATCAAGGAACATCATAATTTGAGGACAAGCAACTTTAATTTCTAAAGCATTTGTTCAACAGAAGAGAATAATCAGATTGATATTCAACATTCGTAGAAGAGAATCCTGCAGAGATATCTTCAGAAGTAAAAACATCATGACTCTACCAAGCATTCATATTTATAAGTGCGCCCTATTCACACATACAAATAAAACAAAATTTATACAGAACAAAAACATCAACACACATTATAATACAAGGGCAGGTGAGAGTCTGAGTATTCCAAAACACACACTGACGCTGTTCGAAAAGTCACCGGAATTTTTTTAAACTTATTTTATATGTGAATGTCTGTACGCCTTAAGTTGTCCCTGTTTGTAATTTGTAAATACTTATGTTTCTTTCGTTTTTATTTTTAATTATGTGTACTATGTACCTCCCTCTTAGGACGAGTCTTATGTCATTTTTTATGATCTACAAGACAATAAATGTATCTATCTATCTAATACTTAGGGCAGGGAAGAAACTAGCGTTAGTGTTATTAAATGGGTGTGGACTATGGAGTATGTTCTAATTGTTTGATTGACTTGACATATTTAATTTTTTTGTTATACAATATTGTAGGTAGCACAAAGAGACTCACTTGGGCCGAATATAAACCTTTATTAACTGATGACAGCATTGCGTGAGAGGTACAGTCAACCTACTTGACGCCATTTTTTTCGTAGATTTCTCATCTTCAGATTGACTAGTGCAAATATGTAGTAGAATGTTGTTGGGATATATTTCGAACGCGTCTTTTATTATTATTATGTACAAGATCTATCGAAAAATCGTAACCGAAGATGAGTAGGTGTGGCGGCCACTGGAACGTGAAGATGGTTTGTATTGTCTCACCTGAGGAATTTCCAGCTGTAACAGTTCCAGGATTTTCGAAACACGGTTTTAATTTTGCTAGTTTTTCCACAGTCATTCCTGGTCTGGGAAACTCATCTTTATCAACAGTAGCGCCAGTCCTTTTATCTACTAGTACAGGCACAATTTCCTTGTCAAAATAGCCATTTTTAACTGCTTCCTCTGCTTTATTTTGACTTTTACATGCAAACAAGTCCTGCTCCTCGCGCGAAATACTGTACAGTTTTGCTAAGTGTTCAGCTGAAATCCAACAGAATATGAGAGTATAGCAAGAAAGAGGATGTAAATTTTATCATCAATTTTGAAGAAAATTGGTTCGCTGGGATTTGAATCCAAAAAAGGTTCGGCAAATCGTACTGACGTGTCTATCGATTACGCCACATAATCTAAAAAATCATACACAGGCATGGAAAACAGGGATGCGAGTTAAAACATAAAAGTTGTAACCAAAGTACTATTGAAATATTTATTCCTGAGGCCCGCCTCTTCTCTCTCTTACAACATCTACATAGAAATTCATATACTGCCGACGTCGTAATGTGTATGAGTGCGAAGCGTGCAATACGTATGTTAGGAAAAGATAGAAGTACCACGTTGCCTAGCAACACGAGTAACGAGGCTACGGTCGCAACTACACATTGCAATCTTTTTTAACTTATATTTGATATTGATGGCTTGAAGACTTTATACTTTGCTTATTTAAGATCAAAACTGAAATATACCTAAATAGTTTGAAGTCCTTACTACCAATGCTACATAAACAGGCTTGATTATGTCCAGAAACTTTTTAAATACCTCGTCCTTAAAGCTGATGGATTTTATTCAGAGCGCGTGGATGTGGCTACCGAGTTCTATTAAATAGCTATGGGTTAGCCTCATTGAAGAACCGACGTAAACATAGTTCAATTATTTTTCTGTATAAGCTCCTGAATCACTTAATAAATTCGTCTGAACAGAACCCAAATATCCTTTTATGTTCCTAGATTTAGTTCTCGACAGGATCAGCAATTCTGTTTAATTACGGGCAAATACGAACTTGCTACGAGTATTAAAGTCACCAGTAAGAGTAATGTTTTCAAACTTCTATGAAATATGTAATTTGTGTGATATATTTAATTACACTTTTAGGAATCCTGAAAGTATCCTTAGTGAGTTATGTCATTAGTAAATTATTAATGGTAATATTACCTTGTAAATGGATTATTTCTATTGGGTAAACAATGCTATTATTATTGTTAAACCTCATGATTATCAATACCTGTTTTTCCCATGTGAACCTTATTACTAAAGTCTATTAAACCATCGGTATACAATGAATCTGCCATTGTACTATCACCTATCTTTTTTCCCCTCATATAGACCGTATGTTGACTTGCCGACATATTCTCCTGCCCTCCAGCTACAACAATATTGTAATCTCCGGCTTTAATCCCCTGGTAACCTAGCGCTACAGCCCTAAAAAATTATTAAGCAATTATAATAAAACAAGTGGTGTCATGAGCCAAATCTGTTCCTATTTGGCGACAGTCCAAATTGTTCAATAATGGTAAAGGATAATGTTAGGTACGTCCACAGAGTAGATAAGCAGAAAACATTGACTTAATTGGGCGCACATTAATTGTCATTATAGATCCCTCACTGATAAGTTTTACGTCATCCAATATATACATAATGTTAAACTGATGGGGCATACATACCACGACAACCGGACACCGAAAAAAGATGAGGTTTTAAAATATTGGGCCAATTTGTACATCTAGTAGGTATGAAAGAAAAAACACGATTTTTTGTGGTATTTTTATAAGCCAAGTTGTGGGCGTCTTGAGGATAGCCGTACTTGAAATTGGGATTTTTCGAAAAAAAAATTTGGTTTTAAAAGTATTAGATTGGGATATTAACCATGACGTTTTATATAGGAAATTTTCTGTACTTTTTGATAGAAAAATTAAATTTGAAATAAAAAAAAAATGAACTGAAAAAAAACGGAAGTAAACATTTCAAATAAAACTATTGGTAATTTCGGTTTTATTTTCAATTTGCTTCCTCCAAAATATAGCCTAAAGTGGGTTTAAAATATACTAAAGCTTTAAAGTGGGATGCGCATTAATTAATGATAAATATTTTTATGTACATATATGCGCACTGAATATGTTACGGCATTAATAGGCTATAAGAGTATTTGTTAGCTTTAGTTATTATTCTACATATATTTTAGCAAAAAAATATAGTTTATTTTCATATATGTATATAATATTTCCTTAAACATTGAAATTAAAAAAAAACTAGGGTGCAAAACCGTTTCAAACCAGAACTTGGGTGACTTAATTAATAATAATTTTTATGTTTGTGCACCCCAAAGGGTGTTTGTGATACATTTTAAATGCAGTGCCCATTAATTTATGAACTGGTATTTTTATGTACATGTACATATGTCGCACTGAGTATGACGTTGGGCGCTTGCTTATGTCAACTGATTTGCAAGATCTCGTATTAAAACGATAAAAAAACTCCTGAAGTATTTTTTTTAAATCCACAATTTAGGTAAACGTTTTTAAATGGGATGCCTCAATTATGGATGTAGAAAATTTTATGTACATATATGTCGCACTGGATATCACGTTAGGCGCTTATTTAGGTTGGCGGTTTCCGGTGGAAGTTACCCAAATTTTAGTTTGAAACCTTTTTTTGTAGTTTTAGGCCCTATTTTTTATATTTCACTATTCAAAATATCGAATAAGCAGTTATAGCTTTCTTTTAAAATATGTTTAAATTGACCACTAGAGCTTAAAAATACTCATATTTTTGTCTATTAAGGCAATATCTCGGAAACCGTTAAGCAAAATATGCGCCTAACGTCATATCCGGTGCGACATGTATGTACGAGTAGATACAATTTTAGGCGCATTCCATTTTAAAACTTCTAGTATATTTTAAGCACACTATATTTTAGAGTAGAAAAAACAAAAATATTCCAAGTTACCAAAATTTTTAAGGTATTAACCCTTGCGAGTATATCAAAGCCTTCAACTATGTCAAATATAATTCTTAAAGCTTGCGCTTTTTAAGCATTGAGATCTCTTGATATTCGATTCATTGCTTTCAATGATTCTATATGATCGCCCTCAAAAATCAAGCACCCACACCTATTCAACAACAAAGGTCATGAAAATAACATTACATATGAGCTATTGTTAAATAGGAAGAAAATTCGTTCGCGGCTCAATATTAAACTAACAATTGTATTATACAATCTAAAATAATGAAAACTGATATAAAAATAATCATTAGTCATTATATACGTACTAGCTTATTACTAACTACATTTTCAGATTGTTTTGACAATGTGATATGTGTGCTTTTATTTCCATGTTTAGAAGCAATGGTTTAAAGTTCAATCTAACGTGATTATGTTGAGGTTTACATACGACAATTTATGTATTACAATGTGAAATAAATGTCAGAAAAAATCCTAAATCAAGAACATATGGAATTGATAACTTTCCTGCCTATTAACTATTTTGGATTGGCGGGAAAAACTTTTGATGTGGCTTTTTTTGCTAATTTATAACTATAATAGTGTCGTTTTATTTGTCATCACGCCCAACAATTTAAGAGCTAAACATTTTCAGAATAACTAAAATGATTCAAGATTAAATGTTCTGTTTAGAATACAACTTACTTCAATCCAGAACCGCACAGCATATTGATCAGGTATGCTGTTGTGGTTACTGGCATTTCTGCTCCAACCGCAGTTATTCGAGCAGGATTTTGACCTTGACCTGCTGTCAGTACCTAAAAAATTGCATGCCTACAATGATTTTAAGACTAGGTTACATTCAAAACGTTAAAAAATTGTAAATAGAGCATACCTAAGATAAGGAATCCCTAGATTTGGGGGTGTACATAATTCAGAGTTTTAGGTGTATATTCAAAAGCGCGAATGTTCATTTGAAAACAACAGATTTATCGAAAACCACTGATAAACAGAAAAAACGTCAAGACACGTCAAAAGATTTATCAAGAGGGACAACTTTTTAACCGAAAACTACTTCACCCTCGGCCCCTAGGGTCATTCCCTTAAATATTTTAAATGACAACGGATATCGAGTGATAGCTGTCGATCAGTTTTCGACAAAATTAGAAAAATCTTATCTCAATTTGCTCAGATATAAAAAAGAGAGTTTGCCAAATCTACAATTTCTTATAATTTAAAACGGAAACTACCAACATAAACAGTAATTCGGAAGATTAGACGTGGCAACAACAAAGAATAACGCGAATTGTTTTCTGCACTCTTTTCATCACAGATATCCTAGGCGAACTGTATTATTTATTGTTATACCTGTTTAGTTATTAATTTTTTGCTAAGGGCAAAGAAAATTTAATTCAAAAAATACGATTGAAGCGAACGCCCTAATCGTTGATTTAAAGATTTTCTAGAAGTTACAAACCCTAATTTTTCTTCTAAGGGTCGTATTCTGTCAGTCATTCCTGAAATTGTAGGACGCCTTTACTGTTCCGTGTCATCACTGTATTTTGAGATTATGTTACAAATACCTATTTGCATCAAATTGTTTATGTTATCATCTGTCATATAACCTGAGATTTCCTACAATTCAGAAAGAAAAAATAGCCTCACAATAGGAGAGCACCGACGCTGACATGGAACAGTAGAAATCTAGAAATACCCCAGCCTTTCTGAAGGATAAAAAAAGACTAGGACAATCAAGGCCATAAAAGCATCCTGCAATTTATTGTAGGAACGACTGTCGATATGGCCCTAAGAGACCATTTTCTTATGAATAAGTTGACACTTCACACTCGTATTTTATTTTCACTATTTTTCTGAATAATTGTTAGAAACAATCATACCTAACAACAAATAATACGTATCTGGTATAGTCCTATTATTCGTAGTTTCATATACCTGCTTTTTAATTGTCCCCCAAAGAAAAAAATATAGCAAAGCAAATCGTATTTTCCCCGTGTTATTTGATCAAAAATGAAGCGATTTACAGGATTCATGACATTCTAGATCGCAAAATAAAAATTACTTTATTTGTCAAATATTGACAAGTGAGGCGCTAAATCATCTATAACGAACCCCCAAATTTCGTTTTTCTGTCTTCAATAATAAAAAAGTTATACCTTGGAGAATCATCCGGTATATTCTGAATATAGAGAAGATTGAAACAAAAAAAATTAAAATTTTGTAAGAAAATAAGCTGAGTTGGTGTTGCACATGTGAAGAACTTGTAGTTGATAACAAAATTTAGCCAAATATCTAAATGGTATTATTTGGAAATAATTTTGGGTCTATAATAAATACCATATTATTATACTGCAAATGAAAGCAGTATCTCAGTTGCCATTTTTTTCTGATATACATATGCGTTTTTGATTGAATTAATTGTATGTTGATATGATAAATCAAATTATAACAGCAATTAATATTTTAAATAGATTGATTTCGATTCATGGAGTTATTTTTTGCTATAATTAAATCACTGATACAACTCACACGGATGAAAACATTACATTTTCAAATAAGACATTATTTGTCAACTTTTTACCATTAGGTTTATTTATGCATAATTTCAATCATTTTAGTAATTACATAGCAAACATTATTATTATGATAGCATCAGTATGTTACTCCAGCCAGATTATAGATAGGGTTACCAAGCCTGGTAGTTACAGTCCAGTAAAGAGTGTAGTAAAATAACTAAAATTTTGGAATCCAGATATTAGTTATATTCTTAGAAATATTTTGTCAAGATCAAGTAGCACAAAAATAGACCTTAAAACAAACTGATTAGTTAAAATGTTGCAAGTATAATAGCTAATGTACCAGCTATTCTGGGGAGAGTAGCCAAAATGAATAGAAGTCTTCAGATAAACAAAGAAAAATATCATAATATTAATATATTGAAAAAGTTTTAATATTTTACTGTACAGTTTGTAAATACATTATTCAGCCACAGATAATTATTTTATTAACTAAAAGAAATTTTTATATACAAGAAAAATCACAAGGCAGATTGTATCTGGTTAATAATATATACATAAGAAATTAAAGACATTTTTCAACAAGTGATGTGAAAAATGTCACATGTCATTTTATAGATATAATATTTCTAGGTCTATTTCAATTTAACAATCATGTAACTTTTCTCATTGTGAAATGGAATTTAGAAATGATGAGAATGCTGATATTATTTTTGTGCATGGGTTCTATAATGGGAATGGTTTAGCAACAATGGATTGGCAGAAATGGACCCTTACATTGGCTTCTGAGGTCTCCTGATTTGAGGCACATTTAAACAACTAGTGTATGCTGAACAAATTAATACTGTTGATCAGTTACAAGAAAGAATAGATAGTGCTTCATCAAATTCAAGTGATAACAAATTTTGCGAAAATATGTATTTCTTTATTAAAAAGATGTTGCACTTGAATCCGTCACAATGGTGGTCTTTTTGAACATTTATTGAAATAAAGCTTTGCTAATCTATTTTTTTTGTTTTACCAAAATAATGCACTGTAGGAAAAACACAAGAGTAAAACAGTGACATACTATTTTTATTTGGACAAATAATTCCACTAATCCCGGTATCTCCGCCATTGGTGCACATTAATTTTAAGGAGACTTTTGAATGTGGACAATACTTAGGTAAACCAATATATACGAAATTTTACTTCATTCCAGTTACTAAAATATGTTTTTTATTTTAAACTTCAACACCCCATGAAGCCCTCAAGGAAAAAATGTTACATAGAAGATCCCCTTAAATTGTGTCATGACTTGTGAATTACCCTGTATAAGTAGATATGTAGCATATTTCCTTTGGGTTAAGAACAGAACATGTTTTTCAATAACTACATTTCAATAATGACCCTTTTACTATGAACTCATATCTCCACTCCTCATAAGCAAAATATGAGAAATGTGATACAATATTATTTAATCATACAACAAATAATGCAAATTGAAATACTTGGTTTGCTAAGGCAAAAGTTACATAGCAATTTATTATATGTTTCATTTATGAAAAATGTATACAGTATCAATTAGTTATAATCAGAGATATATAGATTTCAGAAATGTTTATGCCAAGTCCAAAATATTTGGGACCATTCAATGAGACTATACAATGCATTCAAATATCAAAGCTTCATGTGCTATACACACCTGCCCTAAGATAACATGTTCTACATCTTCAGGATGTAATGAAGCCCTTTTGATGACTTCACTTACTGCTATAATACCCAAGTCAGAGGCAGACAGCTTCTGAAACTGTCCCATAAAATTTCCTACAAGTATTATGCAATGAAAAAGAATTCTGTTGGTATAATATCTAATAAGACGTACCAATTGGAGTCCTACAACCTGAAATAATGTACACATCAGACATCTGAATACTTGCCGCACAAAATACTAAAAATAATACTGATAACGGCTTAGGTACACGCTTATTAAACAGTTATAAAACAAAATATTACAGTTATTCACAAGTTATGTATTTGTAATGGAAATTTGACCAAACACTCAACTGACCCCCTTTTTAAATGAGGTTTTTGTACTCGAACGAAATATTTTAGTACACATTTCGTCACCTGTCACCCACAAAACACACGGTTACTGATTACTGTCAAACGTACACCATGCACCGAATTGTCTGTCAGAATGTAGAGCACGAAACAGAAACATACACTGATAATGAATATAGAGCACTGTTCCTCTACGCTGTCCTCCGTATTTGTTTGTAGCGGATCCCAGTGTATATGTTTTGTGGCGGATCCTACAACTTATATCGTCACTGAAAATAGCTGTAACAAAATTATGCGGTCCGAGTAGACACATTGCCAATCAAAGAAATTGTAGAAATATACGACATACTCCACTAGGCTTTATCAGACTATCCATACCAATTATGGTTCTTAACAATTGAATGCAAGTGTACAATGGCGGTAAATGATAAGTATCACAGCTCCTTCTCTCAGCGTAAAGCAGGCTACATCAGTACAAAGACATACGCTACATTTGCTGTCCCGCATTGGCGCTGTAGTCGGACACGGCAACATTCACCTATCGGTTTTTACTTCTTTGTGTTCCGTGATCGATGAAAAAAAATGACAGTAACAAATCGACCCACTTTTAAAATGAATTAGGTTATGTTAATTATTTTAGATTTTTAGGAGATACGTAGTAGTGAAAAATTCACTTTTCCCCTATTTATCGCGATGTCGGAGCGTATTTTGCGTACTCTTAGATAAACCTAGTGTTTGGACGGCGTTTACAAAGGACTCTTCAAGATCTCTATTGTAAAGCCATAGCAATAACACTGGTATGTTTTGCATGTCCCCTTTGTTGCAAAACAGTAGATTTTATCTTGGTTGTTGAATGTTTTTTAGATGTTAATTTTGGAATGATTCTCGCTGTATTATTCATGAGTTGACAGTACAATGTTTTGTTTTGGTGGAGCAGGAAATATCAGCTAACAGATTGAAATGTAATACTTTTCAACAGTTTTTGTATGAAATAAAAGATACCCAACAAAGTGTTGATCCAAGTATGTGATTTAGTCACATGTTATTCATCATTTCTTTCACCAAATAAGATGTGATCACTAAATGGATAATTACATGATTTGTTAGAATTCCTAGAAACAACCAGATAACTGATCAAATAAACTGCAACAAACCTGGCATTACAAGAAAGCTTATGGAACGGAAAACCCGATCAAGTAAAAATATACGTATAGAGAGATATATAGATGGTGTTTTATCCTCCCTCCAAAATTCACTGAAACACTATGCAAACGTCGAACTCAAAGTATTTAATAGAAGACATTTTTACAGACAAATAATAAATAATCAAACAAATGATAGACAAAATACTCAGTGTATCATACTATTTGATTTCAAAAGGTCTTTCCAAGTCTTTCCAAATATCTAATAAAGTATGTTTCATTTAAAAATATAACATGTTGTTGCACAGAGTTGTGGAATGCCCTATGCGATGTTAATCTTGCTGCACAAACCATTTTGATTTAGTCCTTCATTAATCTACTTTCCATTTTCTTTGGGACAGTCTTTATATACTCATGTGATTTTTATTATACTGTTAAGTCTCCTGCGTACATTAAAGTGAAGATGTAAAATGGTGCACACACAGGAGTGAGGCACCAAAATTTCAACACCAGGTATCTTCAATAGAAAGCATTTCTAGCCTTTGTGTCCATTGGGACATTTGACCAGTGGTCAATTTCCATGTTTTGTGACTTAAAGATAGTGTCTAGGCCAAGGTCCACATCAAAGTTGCACTATATTGACCTAGCTTTAAAAAGTAGGAAGCTACTGTTGCCAATGAATGAGTCACATAGCCCTTCAAGAGGTTGTTGCATTACCTATAGGATTTTTTTTTTGGATTTTGATGATGAAAAAGAAACCTAGAAGTCTAAGGGCTTAAAAGCAACCAAATGATTATGAAACTGCCAGAGGTAGGGTTATCAGCCATCCCTTATTTTCAGCCCCTTTACATGAAATTATGATATTTTATGAATTTCAGTTAAAATTGACTAATTCCAAATTAGTAATTAATATCCAGGGTAAGTATTTTTTTCAGTAAATATGAAAACTTGACATGAAAATATGTGGATCAAGGAAGTAGAAATACCAAGTCATGGATGAAATCTGAACTTAGTTTGTTATTTTTGTCATCACTTTTTTTTTCTTCTGAGTATATTGTTCTTTAATATAATATTTTCTTTTACCAATTTTACCTGTTAGACATCTAGCTTCCAAGTTATGCAGTATTTACAAATCCCAAGCAATGAAAGGTAACTTTCAATTTAAAATGAGGGTAAAAGATGATTATATATTCAGTACCGTTGTTAACACCTGAGTGTGGTTGGATGTGTGAAATAATATGGTAGTGTAACATTTTTTGAGAGCTTATTTTTAGCTCACTGAAATAGTTCTAAAAAAATTTATTACATTTTCGAACCAAAAATCCATAAATGCTACCTTTTCAGTTTATGAGATTTAAAGGTTGTTAGCTATATGACGATTATTACACCAGCACTGGAATGATTCTTAAAACAATTTTTTTGTCCTAGTATCAAAATTTTATACAAATCTCAATGTTGCCACAGATGGCTAAGAAAACTTTAATTCAGAATGTGATTACAATTGCATATTCGTACGCGGTAAAAACATACACAATTTTTGTTTATCAGTTGCTTTGCTGAAGAAATAATGCTACAAACCTATTAACCCACAACTGTTAAATTCCATCAAAAACGATGCAGCGGTTACTGAAATTATGGAACGCCAAAAGTGTTATGGAGGGGCAAAGCAAAGGTCTGATAGTGCTACATATGTTCCAAACTACAAGCTGATGAAACTGAGCTAAAAGCAAATATAAACTCGAACGGGCACCTCTATTTTATGTTGCACGGGTTGTAAGCTTAACCGAAAGTATGACGCGCTCGTGTATCTTTATTTAATGCCTTCACGAATTGCAACCTGCCGATACGTTAGAGCATTGATTCGATTTGAAATGCCTATTTTATGAGAAGTCACGATGAGAGAGTACGAGAAACGTAAATAGATAAGCTTCAGTTGACGTGCAGTTCACTGTTATTCTCTTTATCGTGATTATGCTTTATATCTGAAGATATTCCGAGTGAGTGCCGTTATAGAACGATTATTTGGTTGAAATGATTTTACAGGGTGTAAAAAATGAGTCGGGTAGATTCGCACGGTATTTCCCACCCACAAAAAGTTTAAGCACCCTCAATGGCGCAAAATATACGAAATCACGGATGAATAGATTGCCGCAAATTCTGCATATGCAAAGTATATCTGAACGTGACTCAAACAAAACAAAAATTGGAGGGTTATTGCCCTAAAGCCATCGGAAGTTCCGAAACAAAGGGTCTTAAAATTATTGGTATCTTCAATAAACATTTTTTTGTCATTACTAGTAGCGTAACTTATCGTCACTTCTAACGCATGCCTTTGTGTATTTGTTGAGCTTAACTCATCATACTCAATTGTGTTGCGTTGACAGCGGCGTACAGTTTGACCTGTATGTTCTTGACTCGCCAGTGTAGTGTATTCTCATCTCATTTAAGCCTCGTCAATTTAAACACCAGCGGGAGACGTTCAAATTCGCGCGCGGGTCATAAATCCCTGGGCAGGCAGCGATAAGCAAGTACGAGCTGTTTTTTTCTGTTATCATGTTTACTGTGATGTGGAGTAAATAAGGTTTGAATAGTCGTTAGGTGAACATTAATTGGTGGTACTATTTGTAACCCTTCCGATGCTAAAATTGTGTAATATTAGTGATAACATATTTTATAGGGTCAAATTACAGGACTAAACTCGATCAAATAGATAATAATAGTAGTATGTTTTCTAATATTTATCTTATTTACAAGTACCGCTTAATCGAGGCACACGTTTAATGTTTCAAACACATTAGTGTCTTATATCATTTTTAATAGGTTATCAGTCTGGATCAAGTTAAACGTTAAATATCGCGGCGCAAGACCTTGACCTCGATGTCAGTTTGTCAATCAGGTTGTTATTTTGACGATTTGATCAATTAAATTCGAAGAAAGCCTGTGATCAACTTAGTATGATGAACGTTTGTCGATCGATCAAAATGAGAACCTCATTTTGTTTATGAGTGACGAAGCCCACTTTCACCTAAGCAGCATGGTTAACCAGCAGAATTGTCGTTATTGGGCTAATGAAAAGTTGAGAGAGCGATGTTGGAGAGAGTCTACGCGAACTTCCAAGAACGCCTCCAGCACTGCATCAACGATTTCGGCCACCACATGCCTGATGTGATTTTCCACACTTGACTCTCTCAAATGCTATTTCCTTGTGAACCTGATTCCATCAATAAATTTGTTTTCGAGTAAAAATTAACTATTTTATGATTTTTTTAAAACCGTCCATCTTCTCCGCCGCACCCTGTATTACTTCAACTTGGAATTTACATACCTTGATTAATCCTCCCTTGAACTGGGGTGAAGTTAGGGGGTTGTTTTAAATTTATTTTTTATATACTCCTATATTGCCGTACATCGGAAAAAGGCAGTAAAGTGTAAAAATCGCAGTCTTAGAAAATTGAGGCCAAAATTCTGAATTTTTTCGAACTATCTAAATATTAGTTCGACAGAACAAAACTGAATGAATATTACAAAGTTACATGATATAACGGTCAGTGATTAAATGTTATTTCGGATCATATTTGTTGTTGAGACAGTAACATGTGATTTACTGCTTTTATACTCTGCAAAAACACATTTCCTGCCGTTTTTCGGAATTTTCATTATCTATTCATATTATTTTCCCAAAGGAAAACGAAGTAATTTAGAATTTATTTATGTTTATTTTAATTATTCATATTGAAATTCACATAAATAGCACAGAAGTAAACTTTTTTAACATATGATTAACATAATATATGATTACATTCAATAATCACGGTCAACAAAAATTATTATATAAATAAACTAAAAAGCAGAATGTTAAGTTGAACGAAGAATATTTTTCAAAATTATCCTCTCGGAGCAAAAGTAATTATTTATAACGATACATACGTACTTATTCGCAAAAAATGAAAAAATTGAATAAGTAAATGTCACAATAGGTTATAAAAGGTTAAAAATGCAGTACTTGTACATATCGAGAATAAAAGCAGTACTTATAGTTTGAAGACACTGCTTTTTTGCTTTGACAAATTGATGTACTGCTTTATGCTTATGCAGCTAATATATAAAATATACTAAGTGACAGGGTGTCAAGATAGGGTAAAAGATGGGGTTCTAGAACTTCGTGGATATAACGCTGCGCATTCATGTTACCTCTGATGAAGATTAAAGGTGACCTGGAACCATAAGCTATAGCACCCCAAACCATAACTCCAACAGTGTGATGAACATGTCTTTCAACAAAAACTGTGGATTAATCCTTTCACCACGTCGCCTTCTTACCCTGGCACGATCATCGTGCATGCCTAAACAAAATCGAGACTCGTCACTAAAGAAAATACTGTTCCATTCCTGATCCCAGAGTGACCGTTGTCTGCACCACTCAAGGCGATTACGTCGGTGTTCTCGAGTTAAAGGGAGGACCCAGTGTGGCCGGTATGAAAACAAGCCAAAACTTCTCATTCGTCGGTAAACACTTCGCATGCCAATAGGTCTTTGCGTACGGCCTTCTCGATGCCATGTCTGACAACACCTAACCACAGTGCCTACACTTCTTTGCACTCTAACTGCAATTGCCCGAAAAGAAAGTCCAGCTTCCCGAAGTCCCACTATACGGCCCCTATCAAACTCACTAAGTTGACGAAATCGTACAGGTCTCCGTACTCTAGGCATCGTAACCGATCGTAAAGGATGTCAAGAACCAAAATCCGCCAACGTTGATTCTTTACTGCGGCTGAAATATTCATTTTTAGAGCGTTAGTGAATTAAAAAAAAAGCAGTATAAAAACCGGAATGTCCAACTGATAAGGCTGAAAATTTTTTCACTTGTTATTTACAGTAAGATAAATATATTCACCAACTTTTATTAAAATAAAACCATTTAAACTGGGTGTTCGGATTTACATGACACTTAGTATATTTGACAAAGTGAAAAAATAACTATTTTTGTTAAATAAGGTGATCAATGATATATAGGGTGCGTCATCTATTACATTTTTTTCTATTTGAAAAATCAACACGCTTTTGACGAGGTGAAATCGAATTTTTTTATCGATAAATGAAGGTTGGTTTATGCCATTTTCCCAGAATAATCGGGTCTATGGCCACAATTTCAGTCCGAATATTACGCTTTAGGTCTTGAATTGTCCGGGGACCATTCGCATACACTTTTCCTTTCAAAAATCCCCAAAGAAAATAGTAAAGAGGTGTTAAATCACACGATCTCGGGGGCCAACTGACATCTGAATTTCGTGAAATTATGCGTTCTTGAAATTTCGTGTGCAATAAGGCGATTGTTTGGCGAGATGTGAGCCGTTGCTCCGTCTTGATGAAACCAAAGATCATCGGCACCAATACGATCCAATTGTGGCCACAAAAAGTGTGTTAACATGCCGCGATAACGTTCCCGTTGACGGTAATAGTCTTTTCTTAGGCATCTTCAAAGAAGAATGGTCCAACGATGCCACCAGCCCATAATCCGCACCAAACAGTCACTTTTTGAGGATGGAGAGGTTGTTCATGATATTGGTGTGTATTTTCAGCCCCTAGAATCTGCAATTTTGCTTATTTACGTACCCATTGAGGTGAAAATGAGCCGAAAATCCGTCTTCTCTTTCTAGCATCTAATTAACAAAAACACGCCGCTGTTGATGGTCTGCCGTTGCGAACGGTGCCTAGTCGAGGTGGTTGGATCTTCTCGCATACTTTCACTCACTGCGGCTATGTTTTCACGAGTATGAGCTGGATGAACCATTCTCCTCAAAACGATTAACAATCCCAGTATTTTGTAATTGGAATCACGAAAGAATTGATTCGCGTCAAAATTTACCTGAGTACGGTAGCATATTGGCTGCTCCTATACTTTATATTAAGAAAGGAGGATTATATTCACTGTTGCAGTGTATGGAAATTCGCAGACGTAGAGACCTCGCATTGTTTTTTCTTCCAATCTGTCGACCCCCTTCATCGTCTCTTCCTTGATGAGATTTAAGATTTCGACTCGACCCGCCTCTCCCGTTCCAAATGTCACGTCGGAATTTTTAAAATTTCTATTTTCAGAAGGTACACATGCGTTGGATTTATATTTACATTTATGTTAACAGATGTACCGAAACGAACCGCTTACCTAATGGTTATTTATCATTCTCGGCGCATAATATAGAAAGCTGTCGATCCGCTGCTGCATATGCTGGATATGAGCTTGCTGTGATTTTAAAGTCCAGGAGGTCTGCGGGCATTCTCCTCCCATGAATTATCTCAGTAGTTTTATAAAAGCTATTCAATGGCATTTATTCCAGTTCCTATCAACGCCCAGCTTCCCCTAGATTTCAAAACGTATCCGGTATAACTGTATACATCCCACAAATGCTGCCTGCTACCTGCTGGTATTTTATTCTGAATTACCCATATGCATATATATCTAGATAGGGAGCTTGGCAACGTTCACTATTATAAAAAGTATTAAAAATCAATCTTTTATTCCGCAATGATATATGCTTATCCACGTTTCATTGTGTTATGACCGCAACCAGTGGCGTTATTGCGGTAGTTTTGATACTTTCAAAGCACAACTACATAATGCGTGCCAAAAAAGAATGTGATGGGAATCAAATTTGTTGACTTATGATATTTTTTTTTCAGTTTTGCATCTACTGCAAAGATCTAGGTTACTATTTGAAGATAACCTCTAACTACCTAATACCAGGGGTATGCCACGCTACCTGTTATCTCTGTCTAGGGAGGTGCTGTCCTTATTAAATCTTAAAATGGGTGTTTAAACGTGATATGTATGGACACGCAATAAGAAATTCGTGTTGGCAACCAACACAAAGGCTTAGAGGACTTATGAGGGATAGTGTTTTTGACAAAGAAAGAACACTTACTATACAGGGTGTCCCTTAATGATATTTAAGGGTATGAATCTACATGAAAAATTAATGTTAGTTTGCTTTATAAACTATGGTCCAAAAAAGTTTCCTTACAAAAACTCGGGGTGTTGAAGTTTTAGGAAAAAAATGGAAATTAATTAATATTTTCAGAACCGCTCCAGATATTTATTACGTAGTGAAAGTTAATAAAGTTGTATATTTTTCAATGCAAAATAATTTTTAGCTTTAACAGTAGCGTGCGTACGGGTATTGACTTCGATATTTTATAAGAAAAAAATGGTACGTCAATGGTTTTTTCCAAATAAAAATTATTTTTGAATTCCCCGTTCAATTTAAAACAAATGATCTCTTCTGAATTCTTTTCCTTCGATGCGCCATTTTTGAGTAAAAAAATAAAAACCGTTCTATTGTCCGAGAAAATTAATGTAATAATTGAATAATGCAATTTAGCAATAAATATGTAGTTGCTCTGGAATTTGTCACTGGCTTTTGACATCTGACAAGTCTCTGTTATTCAAATCTGTTCGCTGTGACATCTTTTTCATTATTTCGTTTCTACAATCTTGTTAATAATGGTGAATTATTCAAATGCAGAAATGGCGGAAATGCATTGCCGACGGTAATGGTGAAAAAGACAGACGGATTTATCACCAGAGATATCCCGATCGTGCTTTGCCAGATAGTCGAACCTTTTCTAATATTCATCGTCGTCTTGTTGAAACTGGTTTTGTCCGAAAAGGAACATCTAAAGGTAGACCTCTAAGTGTGAGAACACCTGAAATTGAGGAGGCAGTGCTGCACGAAGTCGAAGAACATCCTGAAACGAGTACGAGGAAGATCGCTAGACACTTAAATATTTGCCATCAAATTGTTTGGAGAATTTTCGTGGATTTTTTTGTTATATTCTTACCATATTTTAAGAGTACAGGCATTACTTTCCCATTGATTTTCCAAGGCGTGTGACCGTTTGTCAGTGGTATCTTCAAAAAATTACACAAAATCCGCAATTTGAATCAATGATTCTGTTCACGGACGAAGGTAATTTTTCTCGAAATGCCATTCAGAATTTCCACAATAATCATTTGTGGGCAGAAGAAAATCCCTATGCCGTAACCGAAACCCATTTCCAACACCAATTTTCCGTTACCGTATTGGCCCATTCTTCTTGCCGGGACGACTTGACGGACAGACTTACCTCAATGTTCTTCAACAACAGTTGCTTTTGCTGCTTGATGATGTTCCGTTAGTAATAAGAAACAATATGTGGTACATGCATGATGGTGCACCAGCGCATTTCAGTGTAGCGGCTCGTAATTATTTACGTACAAACTGTTTATCCAAATCGTTGGATTGGCCGCTGTGGGCCCCAAGAATGGCCACCAAGGTCCCCAGACCTCAACAGTTTAGATTTCTTTATGTGGGGCTATCTTTAGACACTAGTGTACACAAGTCCCATTAACACTGTAGAGGAATTAAGAGAAAGAATAGTTGCAGCTTGTGATAGAATAAAAAACACTCCAGGGATGAGAAGGAGGGTGGAATATAAGTGAAGAGGGCCATTTTCAACAGTTTTTGTAATCATTTCGTTGGTTCTAATGTTATGTTTATGTTGTCAGTTGTTGTTGTTCATTGCCCCTAATGTGTTTAATTTTTCCAATTAAATTAATAATTTTGCAAGTTAGACAATAGAACGGTTTTTATTTTTTTGCTCAAAAATGACGCATCGAAGGAAAACAATTCTAGAGAGATCATTTGTTTTAAATTGAACGGGGAATTAAAAAATAATTTTTATTTGACAAAAAACCATTGGCGTACCATTTTTTTCTTAAAAAATATCGAAGTCAATACCCGTACGCACGCCACTGTTTAAGGTAAAAATTATTTTTGCATTTAAAAATATGCAGCTTTATTAACTTTCACTATGTACTAAATATCAGTGAAATATCTGAAGCGGTTCTGAAAATATTAATTAATTTCCATTTTTTTTCTAAAACGTCAACACCCCGAGTTTTTGTAAGGAAACATTTTTGGACAATAGTTTATAAAGCAAAGTAACATTGATTTTTCATGTAGATTCACACCCTTAAATATTTGCATATACGGGTTTCGCCATTTTGAAAAAATAATAGGTTTTCTAAAAGATTCGTGATCAGCGACTCCAGAAACTCTCGTATAGAAATTTTCAGATCACTTCTGTCCCAACTTTTCAGAAAGTCTTGCTGCGTAAATCGATAACATGAGTATTAAAACAAGACTGTCAAAAAAAAACAGTTCATAAAATCGAAATTAAACAAGAATGAATTTTCTCAGTTAGAGATCAGAGTACCTGTATGTTAGACCAGACTTTCCAAAAATATCACGTTTGAGTCATTATTATACAGGACGTAAAATATAGCAAAGCTATGTTAGAGCTAGACCATCCCTGGCAATCTAAATCAGATAATAGTTTTCCGTCACCATCATGAGGGCCTGTGAGGCCTCAAGCGGTCAAAATTTAGTTGGATTGCATACGTGTTGCTTAAGCGTTATTTAAGAGAAACTTTTTTTTATAAGCCAGTATCTCCGAAAGGAAGCGCTATTCCAACAATCCATGTAGAGCAAAATAGTCTTAAAATCGGTAGTCCCTGGAGGTTGAAATTTGAAAAAAAGTTAGTTGGACTAGGTTTTTTATAATAATTAGGGAAAACAATAACGGAGTATTTGCATCAGACGTTATCACTGTTCATATTCTCCGTACACAGAGATCAGAAGGTATCGTGTAGATGTGTCGGTGTGAAGCGTGATGGTCGTAATTACCTTAATTTATAATGGAAATTTCTCACTTCCATTTAGCGTTCATAATCCTTAACGTACATACAGAAACTTTATGTTTGGCGTGATGCTTTTGCTTGTATTACTTCAACTTGGGACTTACATACCTTGATTAATCCTCCCTTGAACTGAGGTGAAGTTAGGGGTTGTTTCAAATTTATTCCAACGTGCAATTTCTTGAATTCGTCCTCCGTTTTCTTTTAGAGACTCTTCCGTTTATAAATGACACCTGGTCGTAAAATTAGAATTGAGCATGCTGAATTGACATAGTGAATCTCCAGACTAGCTCATTTATCAGTGGATAGTATAAAAAATATAGTGATGTTCATATATAAAGCCTCCCTTCAATAAAAAATTAATTGAAAAAACTGGAGCTATGAAGGACAAAAATATATAGACAAAGCAAAACAATTATAGAAAAAAGAAGCAAAGTTCATTGAATTATAGAAAACCAACCATGCTTGTGTTAATATTTTGTAGCATAACCATTATTATCAATCACCGCCTGGCATCGTCTCGGCATAGCTTGTAGAAGTTTCTTGATATAAGATTCATCAATCTTTCTCCACTTTTGCTCCAAAGCGGCAAAAAGTTCATCCTTGTTTGAATAATTTTTATCTCGTATTTGCTTATCTAATATTCCCATAGATTTTCAATGGGGTTTATATCGGGAGACTGCGAAGGCCATTTGAGAACTGGTATTTTTTCATCCAGAAAGAACTTTGCGAGATTTGAAGTGTGCTTCGGGTCATTATCTTGCTGGAAGATTGATCTGAAGGGCATATTGTCTTTTCCATATAGGGTAACATGACATCTATTCTATGTAAAGGTCCCATCCCAAACCCCAAAAAGCACACCCCCAAACCATAATAGACCCGCCTCCATGTTTGACAGTGGGCAAAGTGGGGTTCAATCTTTGTCCACTAGGACGTCTAACGTCCATTTGATCCAAACATATTGAACTTGGATTCGTCACTGAAACATACCCTCTTCCAGTCACAGATGCTCCAATCAAGATGCAACCCTGCAAATTGTAATCGGTCCGTACGGTTTTTCCTCGAGATTAGCGGCTTCTTACTAGGGCGACGTGCAAATAACTTCAAATCATTTAATCTTCTACTTATAGTTTTCGTAGAAACACTGGCAATTCCTTTTGTCTCGATTTTGACTTTTATTTGTCTTGGGGTTTTAAACGGATCTTTGGACGAAATTACTTTTATTAATCTAACTGATCTAGCATTTAGTTGTCTAGGCCGACCACTTCTCTTAGAGGCTTCCAAGATACGTTTTTGTTTGTATTCGTTCCATATTGCCCAAACTGCTTTACGCTTCAGCTTCAAATTTTTGCCAATGTCGACTTGACGTTGACCATCTTTGTATAACTCAATGATCTTAGTTTTCACATCGAAAGAAATTTCTGGACCACGCGGTATGGCCTTGAAATAACTCAACTTATTCCACAATACTTGATGAACACAAACTAATCCTCTTCCGACACGAAACTGTACTAAACTAATGTTGAAAAGAATTTGTCTACATATTTTTGTCCCTCATAAAAAAGTGCTGATATTCAGACTTGTATTGTGTCCATTGCAGATAATGTAAAAACAAGGAATAGTTTTTCTACTAATAATGCATTTGTTTATGGAGCAATGAAGTATGAATTCGTTGTCTAAAGGTATTTAGGTACATATTCATATTTGTCTATATACTTTTTTCCATTACTGTGTGTGTACTATGGAGAGTAGATATCTAATACCCATAGTATAAAAACCTAGCGCAACGCTACTCACTATGAAGAAATGCTGCAAGCATTGCTTTGGTGGAATGTATGGCGAACGACTGAGGGGTTACGGTGAGTATGTCGCTTCAGGAGGATCTCACACTTCGGGCACGAAAGGCCGACAGAGCAACATTGTCGATCTTTTCTGCCTGAGAATGCATCTATTTCATCATCTGGAATTTTAGTTGTGGGGGAACCTTTTTGTAAATCACATTTTTCGTCAAACTATATATACTTCTCAGTACAGCTCGAAAAATATTTGGGAAGATTATATAAATTTATGACTTGATTGTGCGTCCAACCTATGTCGACTTTTTGTGAGCTTTTTGATCATATTACGTCTGGGACTCAAGCCCTACTTAATTTGCCACAAAATATTCATAAAAAAAAATAGCGACATCAACTATCGCTTGATTAAAGCAGAGCAATGGTTTCAGCAACAAAGTAACAAAAAAGTGGTGGGTATACCTTGTGTATCATGTCGGTCTGTTTGTCGGTATGCTTGCCTGTCCGCTAATCTTTGGTTCATCTATAACCTGATGTTCGGACTTTGTAGCAAAAAAAAATATATTTCACCAAACTTCGTTTTTTGATGTTTTATCAGGTCCTGATCATTTTCAGAGAATTTTTGTAGACGTTGAAATTCGAAGGTATATGAACATTTTTTGACCTTAGCATATTCATATGCTCCCAACTCACACTTATAGGCCATATTTCACACATCATAGATTTCCCTGTACATTTGCATTTAAAATTTAGTATGTTAGTGAAATGTTTTCGATGCGCGTACTACTGCTATCCAAGCTCACCGTCTGACGACCCGGTCCAGCTAACTAATCTATCGCTACTGCAACGCAAAAACAGGGTGGCGCATCGAAAACGAAACAGACGCATTTACTGGCAGCTCAGTTTTTTTTTTGGAAAAGCGCTTAGACCCGTCGATTTTGTTTTCTAGGGGGACACAAGTTTGGCAAAAAATCACGTTAACACGTGCAGCCCCCTAGGCGGGGGTGACACCAACCCTAAAATCTTAAATGGAAAGGGGGGTCGAGTGATACCTTATTTTAAAGGTCTTTCAATTCCCTTTATAATGATGTAAAATACATGAGCTTCAGTTCAGTAGTTTTGAAGATTTATTGATTTAAAACTTAAAGTAGACTTTAATAGGTACATCAGATTAGTTTGTACTACTTTCAGAAGAAATTTGACTAAATAAGTAAATGATTTTCTTCACTACGCCCATGGTTTGTTTATCATTTTGTTGTTGAAAATAGCTATTGGAGCGTTTTTTTGTGGCAAAAAAGTTATTTCTTGAAGAAAGATAAGGAAATATCTCGTACTTATTTGTTGCTAAAATAACTTGTAACGCTTTATTACATAAATTAACCATGGTATATTCCACAGCAGAAAGAGTTGAAATTATCGAAATATTTTTCGGAAATAATCAGTGCGCTAATAGAACAGCAGAAATATTTAATGAGCGACATGAGTTCAGTAACGCGCATCGAAAATATGTTCTAGAACTTGTAGCTAAATTTCGGGAAACTGGGTCAGTCGCCAATAAAAAACGCAACATTGAAAATCCCATAAGGAACGAAGCAATAGAAGTGGGGGTTTTAGGGCAAGTTTATGTAGATCCTACGTTAAGTACCCGCAAATTGGAGACTGTGTGTGGTGTTAGTCGACGTACTGTCCAACGGATTCTAAAGGTCCGTAGTTTTCATTCGTATAAAATTCACCTGGTACAAGAACATAATGAAGACGATTTTGATCGGCGACTACAATTTTGTGAAGATATGAGTGAACGAATTATAAACGAACATTTTCTATTAAACACTTGCTTTTCCGACGAATTTCCTTTTTCTTAAATGGCGTAGTAAATCGTCATAACTGCCGATATTGGTCCGATTCTAATCCCAGAATTTATCATGAGGTTCATACACAGCAGCCACAAAATTAAATGTTTGGGCTGGTATTTTTGGCGATCATTTAGTTGGTCCTTTTTTCTTACCTGGAATTTGACCGGTGAAATGTATTTGGAATTACTGGAAGACGCCATAGATCCTGCATTAACAGCCATAATTGAAAATCAGAATGATCGGCAGTACATTGGATTTCTTTATGTGGGGTCATTTAAAAAGCAAAATCTATGCTACTCAGCCAACATCATTAGAAGACCTTCGACAAAGAATTGTGAATGAGTGTCTTCAAATTACACCTCAAATATTGCAAAATGTGCGGCAACGTTTTGAGCATTCTTCATTTTTAAATTACTTTGCTTCCAAATGTATTGATCTCCACTGATAGTTTTATTTAAGCTTTAAATCAATAAATCTTCAAAACTACTGAACTCAAGTAGATTAATTTTATATCATTATAAAGGGAAAACAAAATCGACGGGTCTGAGCGTTTTTCAAAATAAAAACTGAGCTGCCAGTAAATGCGTCTGTTTCGTTTTCGATTGCCACCCTGTATAAACGGACCATACACGACATGACGACGCCGCGCAGATCTGGAAAGGGAACTTAATCCTTCATGACGGCGTTGGCTAGACAGTGCAAAGTGAACCTACATGAGACCATTTTTTGTGGACCTGCGTTATTACCATGCTACCAGAGATTGCTTTGATTTTCAGTAACCCCTTTTCACTAACCCTACACCTACGCTATTGCGACCGCCTGCTGTTTAGTCACGTGAATTTAATCAATAAACTCACAATTTTCGTGCCGTATTTCGTTCGCGTCTTCCTTTGCATCCGTTCCAGTCGGTTGTCGGGTTGTATTTCCACCTTTTTCTCGCTAGGGCTGGGAAAAGGACAAACCTTTACCGGGTAATCCAATCTGAAATTACAATCGTGTAATTCGTACCATTTCAATGAAAATGATGCCGGGATTGTTCTCTGTATCCGTTTCTTTTTGTTCTTGTATCTGGATTTGCAAGGGGATTTCCTACGAATAGGGTCAAATGTCTAGTTAAAAAAATAATGAAATTGCCTTGGAGTAATTGAATCAAGGGAAGACAACAGATTTTTACCTAAATCAGTATATTCAAGCTGAATTTGGATTGCGTATGGAAGTTGTATGTTTGCAGTGTTTGGAATGGATAAAATGTGGAGAGCCATGTTGCCAAATGAGTTTTGATTAAGGTATTTTGTAGACTCGACTAAGTGAATGCGATTCTTAGTTAATCTGCATGTAAAAAGGGATCATATCGCAAAAGTTTGTTTTCGAACGCAATAAAAGAGGATTTTTTATACTTCCACATTTGCTCTTAAGTTTCACCATAATCTCTACAGCAGCAGTTGTTGACCTGGCAGCCCCAACTCAATCATATTTTTAATTGTTCTGCACTCGCATCAGTGACGAAAATAGTACTATTAAAAAATGGAACAATATGTCTTCTGAACTTTTTTCGTATTTCCGTCTGTCAGTCTGTATTTTTGGTTCCACTGCCAGAGTCACCGGAAAAACATGTATCTAGGGTAGAGTAAAAAAGGTGGACTTTTAATCCTGTTCCTCTAGTTTCCTTGTATAAACACACTTGGTATTTAAAAATGAATTAGAAATGGCGGGTTTTGAAAATGCATAATCTTTCTCATTTGAATTATTTAAGCAACCAAAAATTATAAGTTTTTGAGAACTCTATACAACTAGTTTTCTCGTACAGGAAATAATGGGTAAAGTAAGTGATGACTGGAAGTTGTACCTTCTTACATAAAACTCATCACCGACCTTGTCTATTAAGAAGGTCAAGGAATTGGTTGCCACACTTTCTTTCTCGAAGCTCAGAAGTATAGTTGTGTATCTCTATTATGTTTTATAGGCAGGGATATCTTAAAAAAAACAACTTTGTTACCCATAAGTCGTATACCATGTGGGTACTTATTATCCTGAATATTTTTAGAAACATATCCCTACAGGGACAGTGCAGGATAATCCTTTGTTAAAATGCGCTCCATTCAGTCGGTTGATGTAGCGGGACTATAAAGTTTTGTCGCCATCATGCGTTGGGACAGTGAGGAGTGTGCTTTTACTGTTGAGGTCTACTTTTCGAGCGGATGTTCTGTGATCGCAACCCAGCGCGGCTTTTGGAATCGCTTTAATTTAGCCCCGTTGGCCACCGTCCCGGACCGGAAATCAATTGTTACGTGGGTAGTGCGTCGGCCCATTAGATCACTTGAAAAAATTGAGGCAGTGTGAGCTTCAATGTTGCAATCACCCCGGCATTCTGCGTGCAAACATGCGTCTGCTCTTGAACTTTCCGATCGTTCTGTGAGGAGAAACCTTCATGCGTGCAGGAACTTTCTTAGCGTGACTTAAATTCTCGGACAAACTCGTGTTACCGTATTTTAAGTCGTTCCTGAGGACGACTTTTTTTAGTGGTCTTGCTTATTTTCATTTTGTGGATCCGGAAAGAAACAGAACATGCGCTACTGGGCTGACACCAATCCTAGATTTTTTTTTCTCTGGGGCTTTTTGAAATCCCGTGTTTGTGTGAACCGATTAAGGACCCTACAAGACTTGAAGACCAACATCCAGGAAGAAATTGCCAACATAACGCTTTCTATGCTGGCAACAGTCATGTCAAATGCCAGAAATCGGTTTGCTTAGTTTATGGGACGTCACCTATCTGATTTGATGTTCAAAACTATGTAAAACAAAAACAAGCGTTTCTGATTCATATGATGGATTTTATTAAGTTTTGAAAAAAGGTGGTTATGCTGCCACACCATGTCCATGCGACATATTTTTTTGTATACTCCAACTACTACGATGGCTTAAACACCCATGGGGAACCGTGGGGCTATAGGGGGATACAGCACATATTTCGACAAGGTCATAATACAGCTTCGGCACTCCGTGATTTAACAATGGCACTTGATAACCAAAAAGCAGTAGCTCTCATACTTCTTGACTTTACTAAAGCATTTGACACCATTAATCACTCACTTATTGTGTCTAAATGCAATTATTATGGATTTTCTGAAAAACCTTTTTCGTTTATTCAAACCCACCTTGAAAATCGGTATAAAAAAGTTCGTCTAAATCAACAGTACTCTACCGAACAAAAAATTTGTTCTGGTGTACCACAGGGATCAGTCCTGGGACCCCTATTATTTTCATTATATATCTCAGATTTAGAAACAGAGGTAAAATCATGCAGCATACAATTTTTTGCATACGACACTTAAATTTTCTATTCATTTGAGAGTAATGACTTGGAAACAGCAAATAATAAAATCAATCAAGATCTTGCCCAAATTGAAAAGTTCAGTAGTAATCATAATCTTCGTTTGAACCCTTTGAAGACAAATATGTTGGTATACGCAAATATAAAAAAAAAGAATACTTTAAAAAAGGACATAGACATACATTTAAAAGGTAATAAATTAGTTCCTGTGGATCATTCGAAGAACCTGGAAATTATAATGGATGATGACTTAAAATTTGTTGTACACGTAAACTATCTAATTTCCCGGTGCTACCCTATTCTCAGAGTTTTATTTGCAAATAAGGCTACTGCTACTTACATAAATCTGCGAGAACGCAATTATGTGAATCTTTCTTTTTTTCAAAGATATCGTATTGCTTAGTGGTTTACTATCCCTATTTAGATACTATAACAAGAAATCGTATTCAAAGTACTATGAATACATGTTGCAGACTTGTAAATGGTCTCAGAAAGTATGATCTTATATCGAATGCCATTAATGAACTCAAATGGATGAAAATTGATAAAATGTATAAGTACCAGCTCCTAAGTCTGCCTCATAAGGTTCTTTATTCAAAAGCACCGTCATATTTAGTAAACAAATTCATAATGTAAAGGGAATATGCATGGTATTAATATTAGATATTCCACGCCACAGCACATCTCTATTTCAGAATACATATATTTACAATGCGTTCAAATCATATAATTCTTTAGCCCGCAGTGTAAAAGAAACCAGTCCATTACCCAAATTCAAGAAAAAAGTGAAAGAAGTTCAACTTGATCAGCAGCCAAATCTGTTTAACCCATGAGTGTCCTCATATTTTCCTTATGCCTTTGCGTAGATTACTTTATTCTGTTGTTATTGTATACCGGTATTAATTTTCAACAAATTCTGTTTTTTTACATCTCGTATTGTTAATGGGGTTAGATGGTAGAATAGATATATTATCTTAATCTCGCCTCCTGTAAGAATATTACAAATAAAAGACGTTAATTATTATTATGAGTATATTCTGGCCTCGCCTACGAGATCCGCCTGGTGGTATCTCCGCGCACTACTGTCAGATACCGTCTACCATCTTCGATTACACGATACGAATTGCAAATTACAGTGTTGCTGGATTGACCATTGAGGCCTTCGTGTGGAAAAATTTGGACAATGGTCACTTGTTCTATATAGCTTTTGCGTGACATTTTTGTGATTGATATGCTGTGTGGTTATTTACAGCAGATAATGAAGTCAAGTTGGACAGTTATTCACAAGCAATAATCACGGGGTCCTTGTAGCAGGTTTTTTGCTTTTCGATGGCTGATCATCCGATTTTGTGATCGTGCGATTTTCAAAGTTCTGTCCATATGAAGGCGAAGTAATAACCTCTTTAAGGGAGATTGGAAGTTAGAAAGTCAACAGTATCAATGCTTAACCTAGAATATTGCAAATCGTCGGACACACAGCACGCGTAGCAGGAAATTAAAATCGTACTTTGTTTATATACCGAGCTGTTTGCAGTAACGTTTTAATGCTTTTACTTCCTACGCTTACTGACGACGAACTATTGTAATCGCGAAAGTTTTTGAAAATGAGATATGATTTTTGGTTATGGTTTTGGTTATGTTATATGACACGTACATCTCGAAAAAACATGTGATTCATTTCCGTCAGTCTGTCTGTCAGTCTATCGGTCTGTCCGTCGGTCCGCTAATCTTACAACCACTTATAACCTGAGTACCTAAGTACCGCTCGGATTTCGATGAACATTTTTACACAATGATACTACCATGCCAAGGACGCAAAAGCTTTGTAGTTTTTGAAAATTGGTCCAGTGTCGGCGGACAACAAAGATCGCGCAAACTTCGTTTTTTGATATTTCAGACAATCCTGATCATTTTCGGAACCATTTTTGAAGGGGTAAAAAATTTGGGGTTAGGGGTTGCAGGGGTGGGAGATGGTATATCTCAATTTTTTTACGTTGGTGTATTTGTATGCCTCTAGCCCCAGTGTAATTGTACTCACATATTAGGCATATTTCACTCATCATGGATGTCCTACAGTCGCGATGGACAAGCGTCGTCTCTGGTGGTCGAACGTCACAGTCGGCAATCGCTTCCACACTACTGTGGCATACCGGAAGATCTGCTCCATCAAATCACACACTATTTGAACAGGTACCACCGAGCCCATATAGCCGTTTACACTGCCTTTGACATTCCAGCTGTGTAATAATCGTGTGTATGTGCGAATACACAAACGCCGAACTTTTGTTCTTAATATAGACCTAAATTTAACACTAATATAGCGCATATATAGCCTTAAATAGCGAGATTAAAATATTAATAGATCTTAAAGCCTCCAGCCTTGGACTGTACATGAACAAAATCAGTATCTCCAGCTGGTACAAAATAGTCTGCTTATATAACAAAAATGGTTCATTAGAATAAGGTTTCTGTAATCTTTCAAAGTATGTGCAAGGTGTTGGTTTTGGTTTGATCAAATTTCAACTAGTCCGGATATAATATATATTTTAACTGTTGGTACCATAGTCTGCTCGATAGCGTAAGCTGAGTTCGCGTACCAAATTTAATATAAACATGACGGCATTACTGAATTCGCGC